GTGATCATAGGATAGATGAATCTGATGATTACGATGATGATGATGAGGTGCCCCAGTATGGATTTCCATCTGTGCAGAATCACAAGAGGAGAAACAGAAGGCTGAATGGGGTTCAAGGCAACAAAGGTAAAGGAAATACGTAATATAAGTTACGTAAACTTAAGGCACGATACAACCACTAGTTTTAGTGATTTAATTAATATAGTAAATCTAATAATGTCTAAAATCTCAAACTCCGTGAATTTATACATATATAACTATAAAATAAATATTTTTGCAATCAGAATTTCTTAAGAATCGTTTCGCGCGCGCATATCGCGCTCTGCTTTGCGTCCGAACGAACTCTATGCAATTGCAGGGTACTATTAGCGTTACACGCGGGTGTACTGGCTCTTTTTTCTCAATTTTCCAATGTGTTCCACTAAATTGATTTGAACATATTTGCAGTACTCTAAGAAAAAACAATAGGCTTTCGAATAACGCTAATTAGAAAGTGGTCCAAATAAATGCACTACCCGAAATAATCAATTGAAAATTATTTTGTCTTTTTCAGCTAATAGTAAACGATTTTTTTGAATCGATTGTTCTACATAATGTGGTCTGAGTTAATGTGAGTAGAATCACGTAAAATTTTTTTTGATATCTTGTATGGTTACTCCAAAAAAGTAAGTTTGAAAGAAGGGGCCACTTTGGCATATTTTCAATGATATCTCGGCCATAAGATGAGGTAAAAGTTGAAAATTGGTATATAATCGGTTTTTATCAAATAGACCTATAAAATGGCGTATAAATTATTCAAATACCAGGGTGGAGCCGATTCTGTATGGCAATGCGCCCATACCCTTTATAAAGCACTTGCTGACCCAGCAAACGTTGTTTTGCTAAGTAAGGTGTATTCTAAACAACTTGTAGAGAATCAAAAATATTAATACTTGTGTATAAGGATGTGTTGTTTTGAATGCTATATACAATGAAGAATTATAAAAACAATAAACCGCATTAGTTTTTCTATATTTTGTCAATGCAATCAAACTGGAAGATTTATACACTTTCTATAGAAAACATGGTATACTCCAATCCAAGTCTTTTTGGTATTTCGACTTATTGATTACGTTTTAAGTTTTTCAGATTCTTTTTGAATTCTGGATTTTGTGTATAATAGTAAATAATACTACTGAGCTTATACAAAATTTTCAAATTTCTGCAAGGTGAGATAGAAAATGAATTAAGTATTTCTTCTTTGACCTGCTTTTTGAAAAGTTTCAAGTAACATTCGTTGAATT